GCGCTTCTCAAATTAACTACTGCTTGCATTTGAATCCCTGTCCCAGAGTCTGCTTCCGAGAGAACCCAAACTAAGACAGGGACAGTAAGCTACCTCACATCCACAAGTTATTAGAACTAGATTCAGTAGTGTCAGCCAACTTCCCAGAAGGGCAATTAGTTCAAGAAAGTCTTCATGAACGAGGGGCATAAGAAATGGACTTAAAGATGAGGTATCAGCTTCTGATTGGAGGTGGGAGTCTTCCACAGAGGGAAAAATCCTTTTCTGAGTCTCACTCACAAATCAGTTAATAAAAATAAGTATTATTTGCTTAGGCAATTAGAAAGTACGCTGTGATTTCATGGGTTTATAAGGCCACCAAAATCTTTGTATGCGGCCCATATCTTACAGTGATCTTACAGTGATTACCAAAGCACATAATTTATATCTCCAGAATATCTCTAAGATAAGAGAATTGATAAATAGGAAAAGTGGATTTTTTCTTTTACTGTAATCATGATGTATTAATACTCATGAATTAACATAAAGAATAGAATCCAAATATTAACATGTCAGGAGTCTAAGTCAATCTGTTGTAGCTTCAAGATCATGGAAATTTAAGCATTAGTTTTGAACATAGTTCTGTAGATATTTCTGTATGGTCACAGATCACTTGCAAGCAAATGAAATGTTAAATATAACTCTGTCAACTCTATTCATTCCTATTATAATACATCTTTTATGTCTTTGCCTTATTTCTATTGGTGATTTATACTTAATTACAACTTTTATTTTCATTCATTAACCTGTGGACTGATAAAGCTACTATTCCTATTTCTTGGAAGAGACTAAGAGGCAGTCTGCTTCCATTTCTTCTGTTTTTTCTCTACATCTGAGAAGGTTGCAAAATGTCTCCTTGTCCCTTTACAGAAAACAGAGCAAAGATAGAGACCAGAAATATGTAGTATAATCACTTTAGGCTAAACCAGCTGTGGGGCAGTTGTTAAGGAGCGAGCTGCAGCTGTCTTTGGCCATATCTTCTGAGTGTGACTTTTCTTTCCTTTGGATAGAAGGGAAGAGAAGAAAAGTCAGTAAAAATGAAGGTAAATGCAGAGTTCCAGGCTTCTTCAGCAGTTCTCCATTCTCCAGCTCTGTGTTATTCAATGTCCATGTTCCCTAATTTACTTTTGACTTGTCCTCTGATACCATTTCAGAGGCATAAGTAAAGCTGTAGCATCATCGTATAACTGAATTGAATGTGTTTCTCAACCATTTAGCAGCCTCCATAGGAATGTTCCATTTAATACCTAAGGGTGAGAGGGTTGGTAGTTCTATCCCATCTTTATCCAATTTAACAGATTGGGAGTTTGCCCCTCTATCAACACTTCTGCAGAATATCCACAGAAATGGCAGGTACCAAATTCTGATCAAAATAGCCACTGAATTCTCCTCAGGCATTTATCCCTGCCTCTTACAGACTGAGTCATGTGGCTTTTTTTATTATTTACATTTTTACTTTTAATTAACAAATAATAATTGTATATACATTGTGGAATGATTATATCAAGCTAATTAACATATCCGTCACTTCACATAACTTATTTTTGGTAGTGAGATCATTTAAAATCTGGAGTTTTTTGTAGCAATTTTGAAATAGAAATACATTATTATTAACCATCGTCACTTTGCTGTGCAATAGATCTTGGAAACTTACTCTGCCTATCTAACTGAGATTTTGTACCATTTGGTCAACTTACCTCCATTCCTCAATCCCCCACACCTCCTGTTTCTGCTGACCAATATTCTGTTCTCTACTGTTCTTTTTTTTTTTTTTTTTTTTCCTGTCTATAACTTAGACTGGATAATTTCTGTAGATCTATTGATACGTTATCTAAGGACACTGAAATTCAAATTTCGTATGACAGACAGTGAACCAGTTTGGTCTGCAGACTTAGTTTGCCAATCCCTAATTTAATTCAATCCCTGATGGACATGTTTAGAAGGTAGGCTTACTTCTTTTCATTTCCAGGTTACTTTTTCTACCACAGTGTGGTATGTTTGGGGTTTATTAAAAGCCTGGGGTGTTTTGTCAGAGCCTTTTCTCCTTGCAGTCCCTGAACTCTCCCTCTGTATTTTTTAACCTATTGGCTTCTGCTTTCACAATGACCATGTGCATTCAAGGGTAAAAGTAGCCTATAAATCCTTGACATCACTTCTTTTCTTAACCTAGCTTTAGTCTCTCAATACTTCACTATTTTAGTAGCTCTCCAGTGCCTTTAAATGGATGTTTAGGGGTTTTCTTTGTTTAGTTGTTTTTTCTTTTTGTGTTTTTGTTTCTACATTTCATCCTGTTTTTTCAGTGGTTTGCACTACAAGGATTGGGCTGAACTGCCTAGGTTATCATTGTTTAAAGTGGAAAAGCTGTCCAAGAATCAGTTTGCAACTTTAAAATAACTTTCCTGACTGCCAGATGGCACTCTTTGAAGAATAACGTTTGCTTCTATATATAGGGTATGGGGTGGAGAGTTAAACCCCAGAACTGCTACTCAAATGGAAAGTACAGCTTTTTTATTTTTTATTAAAAAATGAACTTTATGGATGTGTAATTTATATAAAATAAAATTTTCCACAGGTTTTAAATATATAGTTCAATGAAACACCAATAAATTGAACTTCCTTTTTTTTTTTTTTTGGACAGAGTCTTGCTCTGTCGCCAGGCTGGACTGCAGTGCTGCAGTCTTGGCTCGCTGCGATCTCCACTTCCCGGGTTCAAGTGATTCTCCTGCCTCAGCCTCCTGAGTAGCTAGGACTACAGGTGTGCGCCACCACACCCAGCTAATTTTTGTATTTTTAGTAGAGATGGGGTTTCACCATGTTAGCCAGGAATTGAACATTTTTATAACCCCCTACAAAGTTGCTTTTTTCCCTTTTGCAGTCATTCTTTCTCAACTCCTGCCCCAAGCAACCACTTCTCTGATATCTAGTATTATAGATTGTCCTTCTCTAGAATTTTATGTAAATGGAATTAGTGTCTATGTATGTAAAGTTTGTCTAGATTTATTAGCTCAGCAAAAATGATTTGCAAGTGCTCTGTCATATGCATCTGTAGTAAGTTCCTTTTTATTGCTGAATAGTAGTCAGTTGCCTGAATGTACCAAAATGTGTTTATCAGTTTTCTTTTTGATGGACATCTGAGTTGTTTCTAGTTTTTGGCTATTACAAATAGAGCTGCTTCCAACATTTTTTGATGAATATTTTTGTGGATGTATGTTTTCATTTATCTTTGGTTAATTCCTAGGAGAGCAATTTGAGTCATGGAATGTGTATGTTTAACTTTATGAGAAACTTCCAAATTATGCTTTTTTTGCATTTGGGAAAATAATGCTTTTGCATTTTCACCAGCAATACATAAGGATTACAGTTGCTCCACACCCTCAAAATCTCTCGATATTGTTAATCTTTTTAATTTTAGTATCTTAATGGGTATGAAGTAATGAAGTACCATCTTACTGTGGTTTGTATTTGTATATCACTGGTAACTAATGATGTTAAGTGTCTCTGATGTTCTTACTGGCTGTTTGTTCATCATCTTTTCTGAACTTTTTTAACACAATTTCTTGAACTGGGTTCTTTGTTTTGTTGTTGAGATACCAGTTTTGTATATGTTCTTCATGCAAATGCTTTATCAGATAGAAATTCAGTATTGCAAAAATGTTCTCCCAGGTTATAGTTTGTCTTTTCATTTTTTAAATGATGCTTTTGAATAAATGTTTTCAATTTTGATGAGGTCCAGTTTTCATTTCTTTTTTATAGTTAGTGTTTTTTGTGCTTCTCTAAGAAACCTTTGCTTACCCACTTGATCATGAGGTTATCCTCCTAAGTTTTCTTCCAGGATCTTTATAGCATTAACTTTATATTTAGGAGGAAAAACTATGCATGAAAACTATTGCATTTTAAAAATCAGTGTTGTCCCTTTGTTAACCTAACAGAGAGTGTTGGTTGAGTGTTTGCCACATGGTATTTCAGAAGGTAAAGCACTTCAAATAACTGCCCAGGACATTTTAAAGTCATAGTTAGGATGAATTTTTACTTCAAGATGTCTGATGACTTGTTACAACTCATAGATCATAATAAACTACACTCTAACATCAATAAGAAACCTAACTCATAAATAAAATATATCACCCAGGATACTCTTCCTCCTCCACCTCTTCCTTCCTACTCCCCTCCTTTTTTTGTTCCCTTCCTCTCTTTCTTTCCTTTTCATTCCTCCCCTCCTTTTCTCTTACTTTTTCCCTTTTTCCTTCCTCCATTAAAAAACATATTTTTTCTTACATTGTGGTATTGTGGGGTTTCGTAGTTGAGCTTTTTTATATGATAAAATATCCTCTAGTAATCGGTTCTTGAGATCAGATAATGGGATGCTGTCTTCCAACGATATGTTTGCATCACTGGCCTTATGCACCCTAGTGATACTGTAATTGGTGTTTGTTGCTTTATTATACCACAGGAAATTACCTGGGAAAGATATAGGACTATATGAAGTATCAGAGACAGCTGTAATTCATGGCCCATTTATATGTGGAAAAATTAGCTCTTAGTAATATGATTTGAGTAGAAAAATAATTTCTAAGATTAAATGAGAACTGAAAATTTTGTATTGTAAAATCAAACTCCCTCATGGCCTTATGACAGCTTTTTGAAATGACAAATAATAGCATAACATAAACTTTATGGTTGGTGGAAAGTGCATGCTGTGTTCTAATTACAGGGATACTATCATTTCAAAGGCTGAGATTTCTGATGGAATTTGGCTGTAATGTAGACTTTAATATCCTATTGTGTAGTATCATTTCTTAAATCTGTTTTACAGCATCTTGGGGTTATAACTTCTTAGTGTGCTGTTGATTGAATGGTCTGAATGAAATACCCCTTTAGGTCTATTTTCCAGTGGCTCAAATGCAACTTCAAGAAATGTACCCTTGCTTGTACTAAACAACAGTTCTTATTCTTTGCTGTAGGACAAGAAATGGATTCTCAGTCATGAAGATGTCACATTGGGAGAATTACTGGGCAAGGTATGTAATCAACTGAGCTAAATAACTAGAAGTCTATATTGATTCTGAAGACTGCAGATTTTTTCATTTTCTTCAAAGCTTTTCTTATATTGCTGCGAGGCACATTACACATTAACTAGAATGCAATACTGTATCTGTTATCAATATTGTGATGCTCACTGAAATAGATGTGTGAAAGTCTTTGAAAGGTTTAAGGATGATTCTTAACTTTTAAGAATATTATGTGTGTGTTTTCCCCTGGAAGGACTAAAAATCATAATGATTTTATTTCAGTATGCAGTAAACTCAAAACTAGTGAACTGAGATTTGAAAAGAAACAGTGAGATAATAAAAGTTTAAATAAATACCCAAAAGTCTTGTTCTTTTTGTTTCTGGTTACATGTGATAGTTCAGGAAAAAAATGGCATACAGCCTCTTGGGATTTCAGGATTGTATATAGAATTACAGTGTGTAACAACGCTGGAACACTGGGCATATCTGAATCTAAAAATGTGGACAAGATACTTGTTTCAATATAAATATTAATTTTATAACTAGTTCTATTAATCAGAAAAAGCAACTATATATAATGAAAGTCCCTTTTCTTCCAACATAGTTGGAAGTTTCTTTGAACTCATAGGCCATAGTCAAGTATATGTTATTTAACAATAATGGCGGATACTTGAGAATTAACCAAATGGACTATTTGAAAATTTATTAATAATAGTTTATTTATAATTGAGTTCCAGTGAATAAGTACTCACTTTTTTGTCAATGACTTAATTAGTGATGTTTCTATTAATATACAAAAATACAAATTCAGTTTATCTTCATGGCGTGATACAAAAAATAGTATAAAATATATATTTAGGAAAAGCTAATATACATATGAGTGATCAGTACTGAACTTAATTAAGGCTCAACATTTTAGATAAAGAAATGATTATTCATTAATTTTTTAATTCAAATGTAAACTTGATGAATTGACTGTTTTCCCCTATTTTTAAAAAAGTTCTGAGAAAGTAAATGTCTGTTGAAATAATATAGTTTGCAGGATTCTTATCATTTATTATTTTAAAATACCTTTCCCAAATGGAAGCATCAGATTGTTATTGGAAAGCAGATTTTTATTGGCATATTTCGTAAGTGAATTCTAAAGAACTTCAAGCTAAAATCAGTGACTCATATGTTATTTCCTCTGGATTTCTTTCCTCATCCTTAAGGAAATATTTCTTCTTTCCCTTGCTCTAAGTAACTCAGTAGCAGTGACTAGAACAAAAAATATTACAAAGACTAATTTCCATGATACAGTTAAATAATAAATTGTAAAACTAAAGCATTTACTGAAATAAAGGCAGAATATGTTGAGAAGGACAGACTTTTTAGTACTATGGAAAAAATATTTTTAGTTAAAGAGAAATATTTCTATTTTTGTGTTTAGTTTATGCTATAAAGTATTAGGAGGAATTTGTCTCCTCAGACTATTTCAAAGAATAATTATTTTCTCAACAACAAGTAATATGTCAGTCTCAATGAATTTATTTTAAATAAAAGACTGTGACTTTGAGGCAATGTGTAGCTTAATTTCATCCAGTATTTTTAAGTACAAGAAAATGGTTATTTAATATTTTTCACTGCCTATTTTAAATAATCATTTACAGTATACTGCTTAAGAGTGCATGGCTAATTAAGACAATTAGCCATGGTTCCTGTCGTTAGAGACTTTGGAGTTAAGTTGTAATATAAGATAATGGCAGGAATGCTGAGGTTTTTTTGTATTCAGCACTGTATTTTTAGTAGACTGTACTTGATATGCAGTATCAGGTGCAGCTATAGTCGATAGTTGGTATTCAATAAATATTCAGTCATCCAGTGTTTTTTGAATTCCTACTATGTGCAAGGCACTTTTCTGGGCACATTTTACAGTATCAATGAACAAGTAGCCAGAAATCCTTTCTCTTATGGAGTTTAATAATCTCTCTAGGAGGAGAAGATAAACAATAAGCATAATAAATAGGTAAATTTTGTAATGTTAGAGGGTGCTAAGTCCTGTGAAAAATATAGAGGGATTGGAAGCATTACTAGTTGTAGTTGCTGTTTTTAGTAGGAAATCCAGATAAACCTTATTATCTTACGTTTACTTTTGAATAAAGGCTTGAAGGAGGTGGGAAATTTAGCCACATGGACATCTGAGGGGAGAAGGATCTATGCAGAGTAAAGAGCCAATGCAAACTTTGTTTGAAGAACAAGGGAGGCATTTTGGTTGTAACAGTAAGCAAGGTGAATGTGACAGGAGAGGACGTCTGTAAGGTGATGAGGGTATAAATTACATTGACCTTGTAAGTCATTGTAATTACTTTGGCTTTGATTATGAATGAAATGGTGAGCTGGTGGGCAATTTTGAGAGGAGTAATGGCATGATCTTTTTTAAAAAGTTATTCTGGGAGTTGTGAAAATAGGCTGACAACTTGGAAAGGTTAGGAGGCAGTTGAACTTACCTGACTAAAAGATGATGCTAGATTAAGATGATAGCAATTGAGGTGGTGTGAAGTAGTGAGTTCTGGATGTATTTTTGAAATTGAATGAATTGAATATCCTGATGGACTCTGTATGTGGGGTATTAGAGAAAGATTTCAGTCCTAAGTGTAAAAGATTTCAGGGAACGAGAAGAGGTGTTCAGTTTTGGATGTATTGAGTTTTTCTATTAGACTTCCAAGTGGGGATGATGGAAACTATTGGGTATCAAGTCTAGAGTTAGAGAAAAGAGGTCTGAGTCAAAAGTACAAATCTGGTAGTTTTTAGTATATAGCTGGTACTTAATACAATTAGATGAATTCAACAATGGAGTGAGTCTAGATGAAGAAGAGAAGAAGATCAAGGATTGAGCCTTGCTCACTGGGACATTAAGAGGTGAAAATAAGAGAAGCAATACCCAAAGGAGGTTTAAAAAAGCAGCCAAGTAGGAAGGCAGAAAACCAGGAGATATGATGCCTTGGAAGACAACAGGAGAAAGTATATACCAAGGAAGAGAGTGATCAGTTGTGTCAGATGATGCTGAAAAGCCAAACGAGATGGGATTTAGCAATGAGAAGATCACTGGTGACTTGGCTGAGCAGTTTCCTTGGGATGCTTTAGGTGAAAGCCAATTTGGAATGGATTTGAGAAGAACGGGAGGAGAGGATTAGAGGTAGCGAAGATGTAATTCCTTAAAGTTTTGCTGCGAAAGAAATCAGAGATGTGGGGTGGTAGTTTCAAGAGAATAATTTGTGTTTTGTAATTGTTATTGTTTAACTTGAGAAAAATAATAGCATACTAGTTTGCAGTTGGGAATGATCTAGTGAAAATTCATCATTTAAGAGAGAGAGAGAGAAATTGCTACAGCGTCATCCTTGAGTAGGTAAGAGGGGATGCAATTTAGTTCACAATGAAGGATTGACTTTAATAGAAACACAGTAGCTCACTTTTTATAACAGCGAGGAAGATTGGTAGGTGGGTCAGTAGAGCAACAAGAGCCCAAAGTTCTCTTTACATTGCTTCGATTCTTGAAATGAAGTAGGAAGCAAAAGCATCAGCAAAGAATGAGGATGGGAGATTTGAGAAGAGAATAGAAGAGAAGCAGTCATCCAGAAAACGGGGAGTGTGAGTGATCTAAAAAAATATGATATGATTATTAAGTACGTTAAGGGCCCCCTAAGGGTTTGTGTTCATGAATTTAAAGTTAAATCAGTCAGCATGATCATGGTTTTTCTCCAGCCATATTAGCTTTATAGGTGCAGAGTAGGAAGAGTTTTGGATTTAATCAGACTTGTAGATTTGCCAAGGGAGTTTTACAGATTAACAGAAGAGCAAATAAATTGAGAGTGTATGGGAAGGCAGTTGTAATTATTGACCATGGAATTTAAGGTGGAATACAGGAGGAGGAGAATATAATAAGAGAATGACGTAAAAAGTGATAGAACCTAAAGACTGTCAGTTCCTATGAAGTCAAAGGAGTTTTGAAGTCTGGATAAGTATTCCAAAAAGAAGAGGAAGTAAGCTAGAAAGATAGAAGCCAACCAGAAGATGAGACAAATGAGATAGATGTTATAGAGCATTTGCATTATAGGTATGGCACAGTTTAAGATATGACCCTAGAAAATAGATTGGAGTGCAAGATAATTGGAGGAGAGATGATCAAGAAACTGGAAGTTTGAATTCTTGGAAGGACCTTTAAATGTCTATTGAAATTACAAAGTATTAGGACACTGGGTAGACTGACAGTTACCCAAGGGCTCAAATTGTCAGTAAACAAAATGTTTTCAAATTCAGTAAATGACAGCTGGAGTGAGGAATAGTGGGTAATATAATTGAGTGACAAATTTTCAAAGCTGAGAGTTTCAGGAATGTGGGAGAGATAATGGTTTAAAACCAGTAATAAGTAGGTAATAGAACACTGTGTTCTATCTGCAGGGCAATGGTAGGATTATATGTGGGGAAAATAAGTAATCACTTAAGTTTAGATAGCAAAAGGAAGTTCATCCACCATTTGTATCTTCTCTAATAAGAGCCATTATTTTGTTAGAACAGGAAGTTAAAGGAAATGATCAAAGAATAGATTGAAAATATAATTTTGAGGATGATGGACCATGAATTCCAGAAGGCACTATGCAAGTTGGGGATAGATGAGAAAGGAGGATCAAATAGAAGTATGCTGAATCTGAGGGGGCTGGAGAGGGAGAGATGAAGATTAACCTAGGACCACGGTCATCTTACATTGACTGATGTAAACACAGTCAAGGGGCATAAGATTTGTCCTCAGGGACTAAAGGGCAGCAGCAGAGATGAAGTCATGCTTCATGACTTTTCGTCTCACCCTTTGCATCTTAGAAAGGTTAACCTGATTCAGGATCTCAATTCTGTCACCTAAGCTGATCTCATATTCAGCCCCCCACCTCCCATTTAAAGCAAAGGTTTGCGATGAATGATTCAGTGATACAGAGTGATGAGTGTCTTGAGCTTCCTCCTCACCTCTTTGGATAGAGAAGAGGTGGTCTGGGAAAGCATAGTCGTTTCTCAGTGTCTGAAGATTGTCCCTCTGACCACCATTGATAGAGTTGACGTTCTCTGGATAATGGTTGCTAAATTAATGTTTAAATTTTTCAAATGCCTAGTACATGCCAGTACCTCTTAAAATAGGGCGGAAACCATTAGAAAGACACAAAGGGCAATGGGGAGATGTGTATTCAGGGACAGGAGACATAATTTTGGGAAAATCAAGAAAGTCTTCATGAACGAGGGGCATAAGAAATGGACTTAAAGATGAGGTATCAGCTTCTGATTGGAGGTGGGAGTTTTCCACAGAGGGAAAAATGTAGAAAAGGCATGACACGTATTTAGGGATCACTATGTATTTGAGTTCAGAATACATATAACAGTTGGGGGTTATAATATGGAGCTATATAGAGGCCAAGAAAGTGATAGTAATTGAAGGATGGATATTGAGCAAAGCAGTAGTATAATCAAAGTTTTCTCTGGAAAGATTAATCTGGCAGTGCTGTTCTAGGTGGTTTGGAGAGGTGAGGGACTGAAGATGAGATCAGCTTAGGTAACAGAATTGAGATCGTGAATCAGTGTAACCTTTCTGAGATGCAAGGGATAAGACAAAAAGTATTATGGAGGTAGGGTCTGAATGCTTACAAGGCAAATGATGGTTCTAGTAACTGAAAAAAGTAATATAGCCAGGAAAAATCTTTTGATTAATAGAACAGTAAGTTTTAGACAAGCTGAATTGTAAGTGCTTTAGGTAAGTGGAGGCCCAGCAGTAACTATGTAAATTAATAATATCTTCTCTCTACCTCTGATGTAATAAATAATCTGACAATTGTGGGTAAAAGACAATCTCTTGAGAATAACAGAGATGCGAAGCTCAAATTTTGCTTTTTTAAATTTATCATGAATGTTTACTGTTTAATGTTTATTTTTATGAAAACATGATTTACCATTGTTTTATAAATATTTGAGTTGACTATTAAATAGTAAAAATTGAATATGACTTGTTAAAAATATTTTAAAGTATTTTAATAATTTATTAATAAGCAATAGTTCAAGGTATAAATTTTGTGAACTTTAAACATTAAGAGTTACATTCATCTTAGTGCTCTAAAAACTCAGTAAGTATAGCAGACTTCTAGTTTAGTTACTTCTTGCTCAACAATAGCATTAAAGTTTATTATAAAATATTTGTATATGCCGGGCGCGGTGGCTCATGCCTGTAATCCCAGCAGTTTGGGAGGCCGAGGCGGGCAGATCACGAGGTCAAGACATCGAGACCATGCTGGCCAATATGCTGAAACCTTGTCTCTACTAAAAATACAAAAATTAGCTGGACATAGTGGTGCGCGCCTGTAGTCCCAGCTACTCGGGCGGCTGAGGCAGGAGAATCGCTTGAACCTGGGAGGCGGAGGTTGCAGTGAGCTGAGACTGTGCCGCTGCACTCCAGCCTGGTGACAGAGTAAGCCTCTGTCTCAAAAAAAAAAAAAAAAAAAGTTTGCATTGTATGATTATAGCTATGTAAAAAATACATATGCAGTGTAAAAAACCTAAGAGAATATTCAAGAATAGCTGTTGTGCTAGTGTGTTAGCCTTGTTTTTCTTCTCTGTAATGTTTTGAATTTAATTTTTAAAAATAGATTTCAAAATTTCTTCTCTTCTAAAATAAATGCACGGTAAATCAAGCTTTTTTTTTTTTTGGAGACAGAGTCTCACTGTGTTGCACAGGCTGTAGTGCAGTGGCGCAGTCTCCGCTCACTGCAAGCCCTGCCTCCCGGGTTCATGCCATTCTCCTGCCTCAGCCTCCCAAGTAGCTTGGACTACAGGCACCCGCCACCACACTCAGCTAATTTTTTTGTATTTTTTTTGTAGAGATGGGGTTTCACTGTGTTAGCAAGGATGGTCTCGATCTCCTGACCTTGTGATCTGCCCACCTCGGCCTCCCAAAGTGCTGGGATTACAGGAGTGAGCCACTGTGCCCAGCCAAATCAGGCATTTTATACCAAAATATGTCCTAGCCATAGAGTAAAGTTAGAAGTTCTTATGTCTGATAGAAATTAGTTAATCTCAGGTGATACTGACATGTAGGTAAGCACCTTCCTCCTCCTTGGTACCTTTGCTTGTATTTGGTAAAGATTTACATGCTGTCATTTACCCCAGACAATGAATATATTTCTATTTTCAGGGAAATTTTGGTGAAGTATATAAGGGCACATTAAAGGATAAAACTTCTGTTGCTGTTAAAACATGTAAAGAAGATCTTCCTCAGGAATTGAAAATAAAATTTTTACAAGAAGCCAAGTGAGTTATTTAAATTAATCAAAATATGTATTTGTTATGTAAATGATTTATTAAAATGTAAGTTTGAAGGCATCTTAAATTGTGATTTACTGAAATAGTCGGGGTAAGCACTTTTACAATGTGGAATCCAAAAGTCTATCCTTTTGTAATAGTCTGCAGATCAATTCAGCAATCGTAGTCCAACCAAGTGTTAAAAAGCAGTATTATTCAAGTTCTTAAAATGTTACATTATTTCGCTTTCATCACACATACATATACATATATGTATATATGCAATACTGTGCTTATTATGATAAAAAATTACTATATTATGTACATGAACTGTACAGCTTACATATACGTTTAAGTAGATAATTAAATCTGTCCTACCCTCCTTAGATAGTACTGCTTGGTTCTGTTTTCTCAACCGTTAGGTTTCATTTCTGAGAACCTCAGATTTCTTCAGCTTAGTATCTGGCATTTCTTCTAAAGTTTGCATATTTTTTTGTTTCTAATCTTCTAAGATGATTAATTCTCTTTTTTTTTCTATTATTAGCTAAATACTAGAAAATAATACCTATTACCTATGTTGCACATACTTAAAACTCTTCTGTTAGTGGTAAAATTGAGTATATATAACAAAACACAAAACAAATGCATCTTTCCAGAAGCCACTTTGGAAAGAGTAACCTGGATGGACATGTGGGTGGGAAATGGATGAACTGATGGACAGATGGATGGATGGATGGATGGATAGATGGATGGGGAAGGAAGAGGATACATGGATCCATATGTTTTTGTGTATTAAAAGGAAAGTGCAATGGGAGAATATTGCCATGGCAACAAGAGAACTATTCATAAGTAACATGGCATAGAGTCATATATATGTACTAATATATATATACTAAGTCATCATCTAAAAATGAATAATGGCAATGGCTAAAGTAGTTGGATGCATTTATGAAATGTTATCTGCAGAGTAAAGCAGTAAACCTTTTTCATGACTTGTTGGCAAGTCAGAAAAGAAATTGTGATGAATTAAAAGGCATGTGAACACAACTGAAATTCACAGCCTCGTTATTTTACAGTTGTTCATAAGTATTAAGGTAAAATACTGTGCCTCACATGTTTTCAAAAATATTTAAATTTCTTGCTTTCTAACTTTTTTTATTGCAGAGTTTAATTTCTTCTTTTAAGGTGAAATTATAGTTTTATGTTAAAAATGAAACTTACATTCATGCAAACTTCCAAGTGTCCTCTAGTATACACTAGAAGTATATATTTAGATATTTAATATTATCTGAGTTCATGCTGTATTGTGCAAATTTCTTAGACAGTTTCTAACCTGTGAAATTAAAGTCAAACATCATAAAACCTTTCTTTTAAATTTCTAGTAGAAGTTGCAAGGCCAAAGTTATTGGCAGAATATTTCCTTTAGAATTCTTCCCAGTCTGTCTTTTCATTTCTATCTTTTTATATTGTCTAAAACATTTTTATAGCTCTCCTTGCTTTAGTTGTACATGTACAATACATGCATAAATTTTTTGTCTTTCTCCGAAGTTACCTTTTTCGTCCTCTTAGGAAAGGATACAGCAATTTTCAAATATGAGTGAATTTATAACTATGTCGATAAGATAATAAAGAATAAGATTTGGTAATAGAAATAATTGGGACAGACAGGCATCTGAGGGAATTTAGTTTATTTTTAGCTCATGTTTGGAGTTCTATAGGTGAGTGCATTATCAAGTAGAAGGGGCTCACTGCCCAATGTGCTAGAAGCCAATACCGTGACACCAGGTCTTTGAGAAAAGAAAAACTTACTGTTAAACATCAACTGTTACTGATTTCAGAGCAATATTTTTATTAGAAAAGGTTGAGGGGGTAGATTCTGAAATTACTAAGTGATTAGTGGAAGGGGAAATGAGAGGCCTGGAAAGTCCTTGGCCACACATGGTTATCTCTTCATGCAATCTCATGGTTCATATGTGCAAATCCAGGGGGAGTTAGTCTAAACTATGTACTGGAAATTCAGGCCGTGATGTTAGCAAGCTTGTTCCTGCATAGATGCCAGTTAGCCCTATTTCTTCTAATCAATTTCAGCAGTTCTTTTATAAACAACGGGAGTTTCAGTGATAGAGCAAGTTGTTTCTTTTTTTATGTGCTATCCTGCAAACTCAAGGATTTTTGTTAGTCATTACTGTGTTGCGATTTTTTTCTTAACTCTTTAGGGACATGGTTTCAAGTCTATCCTACTTTCATAGCCCACTGATGAAATTTTGCCCTTATCCAAACAAAGGCAACTCTGCTTTAGCTGAAGTCTCTGTTGAAACTCTATTATTCAATTATCCATTTGCCAACTTTCTCAGAACTTTTGTTTCTACCATTTTGAAATTGATCCTGATCAAGAAAGTATTTAACTATTACAAAATCCAATGAAATGTAGCATTTACCAGTATAAAATGATTTCTTATTTTCTGTATTTTAAAATCAAGTATGTGTGTTAAAAATAAATATATGTATGCTGCCCCAGCAGCTCACAATTTTTGGCCCACTAATACTTTTCAGCTATACTTTTGTGGTAGTGGCTAAAACCAGATATTATAATTTGAAGGGAGTTGTACATGTTTTAGATTAACTAGTTCATTTCTATTTAACATGGTTGTTAATCATTCAGAGTAGATAATAATTTTTAAAAGAATATTTAATTAAGGATAATTGACTCATTTGCATCCATATTATGTTGCCAATATGTACCAGTATGGTTGGGCCTCTGTGTCCATGGGTGCTGTATCTGGGGATTTGATGAGCCACAGAACAAAAATATTAGGGGGAAAAAAGTTGATGATTGCATCTGTACTGAGCATGTACAGAATTTTTTTCTTATTATTCCATAAACCATACGGTATAACAACTATTTATATAACATTTACGTTATATTAGGTCTTACAAATAATCTGGAGATGGTTTAAAATACGTGAGAGGATGCATGTAGGTTATATGCAAATATTGCACCATTTTGTGTAAGAGACTTGAACATGCATAAATTTCAGTATCCACGGGGGTCCTGGAACCAATCTCCTACAGATACTGAGGGAAGACTTTACTCATTTGTATACATCTAATTTATCATAATTTGGGGTCATACCAAAATTTTAAAAATTGAATTATGATTCAAGAGTATTCTAGTTGTAAACACTATGTGTGATCACAAATTAATGCTTTATTATTCAAATAATAACTATTCTTATATTTTCATCTCATCTAGAATTCTCAAGCAATATGATCATCCCAATATTGTCAAACTTATAGGAGTTTGCACACAAAGACAGCCTGTCTACATCATTATGGAACTGGTTTCAGGTAATGTGATCTGATAATTTTGCATGCTGACATTTTAATGTCATGTTTTATTGTTTTTATATGTTCAGTCTCTTTGATTTCTCCTTGTAAAGTTTCCAAGGATTTTGTCTAACATTTCCAGATAACAAAAGAGTCTGTACCTATAGTCAGTATTTTTATAGGCTGTAACACTTTGCTGTTTTCTAGAAAATGTCAACTGCTTTTTTAAAAAGACAGATTTATTATTAGAATATAGTTACATATGGAATTCAGTTATATATAATCTTCATGTGCAAAACACTAGAAAAAGATAGTGTACTTAGACTTTATAATAGTGACAGTACTATCTTATATTTAGTTCATTGTATATCATTTTCCAAGTACATCTCCACACAACCTCTCTTCTAAATGTTTGAATTAATTTTTAATAATTTTTTTGTAGAAATGGAGTCTCACTATGTTGCTCAGGCTGGTCTTGAATTCTGGGGTCATGTGATTCTCCTGCCTTGGCCTCCCAAAGTGCTGGGATTACAGACATGAGCCACAGCACCCTGCACAACCTCTTTTTTGATGGTCATATGTAATAATCTCACAATGCTTTGACTCACTTTTGAATTATGAACTTCTTTCATATGTGGACAAACAAAAAAGTGATCAGTCTATGAATATGTCTTGGTATTTATTTCTGGTGACTTTCAACACCTTTATGTTAACAACTTTTGACAAAGAAAACTTTGAAGTGCTATATTAATAGTATGTTTTAAAGTTTTTTTCATTGTCCAACGTCCTGTTGTAGAAAATACAATCAGAAGTAAAATTTGATCTCATAAGCTTTACAAATAGAGTATTTAATAAATGAAAGGAATTTGCTTTACTTTTTAAAATTATTTACTCATTTTAGGAGAAATTTAAATAAATATGAAAAACCTTTCTAATTTTAATTAAAATATGTAAACATATTGTAGATAGCTCATCAATTTCTGCTTACAGAAATTAATTTTTCATGATTTGTAATTATTGGTCCTGTTTTGTTATACTACTTTGCTTGCTATTGAAATATTTCTCAATATTACCATGTAACTGCAGAATACCTAGCTCATTATCATCTTTATCCTCATCAGGATGGCATTGTCTATGTTAGGTACATTGTATGTTTTAATGGTTTAAATGTGTAAATATTATAAATACATACTAACATTTACATGGGTGCAAATGAAGCCCCTGAATAATAAGGAATGCCACTGAAAAACTTAGATTTGGGAGGTGGGATGGACTTGAGGAAAGGTGATTTTGGTCTTACTGTAATTGTTAAAGGACCATAGATGCAAATTCCAGATGGCAAGTCCAAATTAAATAAAAGAAGGTAGTTTTGTACAGGAGCCAAGCAAGTGTTTATCTAGACTCTGACTAGTAACCTCTGTTTATATTTTTTAAATGAATAAGAATAATAAACTTCATTAGAAAATTGAAAATATAATGAAAGGTAGAAAATTGAAAATGAAACCTTCCACTCAGTCTCTCTCAAAGCTAATTGCTGCTTACAGTTTTAAAATTTTTTTTCCAGAAAAATGTTTAATGCAGATGCTTTAAATTTAATTATGAAACAAATTATACTCCAACAGTATTTCAGATCTTGCTTTTTTTTTTTTTCTTATTACTATAATGTGTGATGGTTTTACTGTTTTACAGTTATCTATACAATTCTACCTTTTTCTGGTAATGGCTACAGAATATTCCATTTTGTGGATTTACATAATTTATTCAACCACAACTTTATTTGTGGATACTTTGGTCATTTTTATTATTTGTTTTTACAAAGTGTTCAATGAATATCCTTGGACTAACTGTAAGAATCATTTGGAAGTGTATCTATAGGTAAAAATTCAGTAGTGAGATTGTTGGATCCGAGTTTCTGTATTTTGATTTACGTAAATGTATTAGCTTTTGATTTCTCCATAAGTAATTATCACAATCTGAGGGCTTAAAGTGACACCCATTTTTTTACCTGACAGGGTCTGTAGGTTAGAAGTCCTGACAGCCTTGACTGTGTTCTCTGCTCAGGGTCTTACAAAGCCAAAATCAGGATGTCAGGCTGAGCTGTTATCTGGAGACTCTGGGGAAGAATCTGCTACCAGACTCATTCAGTTGCTGGCAGAATCGTGTCCTTGCAGCGTACCTCTAAAGTTCCCATTTCTTTGCCTGCTGTCTGCCAGGGGCATCTCTTAGCTCCTTGAGGTTGCCTACATTCCTTTTCACATGGTCTTTCTATCTTCAAAGCCAGCATGGGCCTGCTAAATCCTTCAAGTGTTTTGAATTTTTCTAACTTTCTCTTATGTTACTAGGTAAAGAATACTCTCTACTTTTAAAAGGGCTTGTATGATTAGATCAGGCACACCTGGGTAATCTTATTTTAAGGTCAACTGTACATGATAGAACATATTACGAGTAGTACTTACACTCATAGGGATCCAGGTATTAGAGTAGGACATCTTTGGAAGGCCATATTCAAATTCTATCCACCATAGTAGATTTTGCTAAATTCTCCTAAAGACTGTTTGCAATGTGCAATCTCAAACCTTACTGGTGAACTTTTCATATTCAGTTACATTAAGTTCATTCGTTGATCTTGCAGTTTGAATGCATCTTTTACCCGTGCATGATTTTATAGTATTATGCTTCAGTCATTCGGAAAATATCAGATCACCAAGTCATGCAGGTATTTCAAATAATGATATAACTCATTATGTAATATCACACATTTATTAATGTCACAAGTCTCATCAGAAAAGTAATGGAGGCGGCTGGGAACACTGGCTCACTCCTGTAATCCTAGCACTTTGGGAGGCCAGTGGGGTTGGATCATGAGTTCAGGCATTCGGGACCAGCCTGGCCAACATAGTGAAACCTCATCTCTACTGAAAATAAAATTAGCCAAGTGTGGTGGTACATGCTTGTAATCCCAGCTACTTGGGAGGCTGAGGGAGGAGAATTGCTGGAACCCGGAAGGTAAAGGTTGCAGTGAGCCAAGATCATGTCACTGCACTCCAGCCTCAGTGAAAGAATGAGACTCTGTCAAAAAAAAAAAAAAAACAACAACAACAACAAACAAAAACAAGTAATGGAGGCTATCAAGCTCATTGTGGCAGATACATGTTTTGAACAAAACTATAGCACCCAAGTTTTTTCATGCCTCTTTGTAATTCCTTTTTCTACCTTTTACTAACCTGTCACAGCCAACCACTAAACTGCTTTCTGTCACTATGAGCATTTCTCAGAACTCTTAAAAAATGGAATCATGCAGTAAGCACTTTTTTTCACTAAGTATAATTATTTTAAGATTAATCCATATTGTAATGTGTATCAATAGGTCATTCTTTTTATTGCTGAGTGGAGTTCTATTTAATGAATATACTGCAGTTTATCTGTTCAGCTGTTGATAGACTTTTGGATGATTTCCAGTTTAGGGCTATTCTAAATGAAGTTGCTATAAACATTACTGTACAAGCTTCATCTGGACAAATGCTTTCATTCTCTGGGGAAACTGCCTAGTAGTGGAATGAATGGATCATATGACATTTGCATGTTAAATTTTTTAAGAAACTACCAAATTACTTTCTAAAGTTTTTGTTCTAGTTTACATTCTCAACAGCAGTCTGTGATAGTTTCAGTTCCTCCACATCCTCGTCAGCACTTATTTGGCCTGGTTAGTTGTTAGTCTTTCTAATACTTCTATACCTTATTGTTATTTTAATTTGCCCTTTCCCACTGAATAATGATGTCCTTCATGTTTTCATGTGCTTATTTGACGTTTGTATATCTTCATTGGTCAAGTGTCCAAATCATTTGCCTATTTTAAAAACTGGGTTGATTGGTTTCTTACAATTGAGTCTTGGTTCTTTACATATTCTGGATACAAATCCTTTTTCTCTCAGTCTATGTCTTGTCTTTTCATTCTCTTAACAGTGTCTTTTGAAAAACATCTTTATTTTGATAAAGTTTAATTTACCTATTTTTTTCTTTTATGGATCATACTTTTGATGGTATATCTAAGAAAACTTCGTTGAACCCAAGTTCAACGAAATTTTTAAAAAAAGTTTTTTTCTTAATTTTACTTTTAGAAGTTTTAACGTTTTAAAATTTATAGTTGAGTGTAGGACCCATTTCAAGTTAATTTTTGTATATGGTGTGAGAAATGGTTAGAAGTTTATATTTTTGGCATGTAGATATCCAGTTGTTCCAGCACCACTTGTTTTAAATGACTCTTCTTTCTCTCTTGACTTAACTTTTTACCTTCATATAAAATTCATTTTTCCATACTTACATGTGACTTTATTTTTGAACTCTATTCTTTTCTCTCAGTCCTTTTGTCTCCATGCCAATACCACAATGTCTTGATGACAGTAGCTTTATAATAAGTCTTGACTCAGAAATAAATCCAAACATATACAGCCGACTAATTTTTGACAAGAAGGCACAAAGGGGAAAGGATAGTCTGACAGGTAGTGCTGGGAAAACTGCATTTTCACATGCAAAAGAATGAAATGGGACCCTTATTTATACCATACACAAAAATCATCTCAAATTGGATGAAAGACCTAAAATAAAGCTAGAAAGTATGAAACTCCTAGAAGAGAACATGGGGGAAAATTCTGGGACATTGGCCTTGCTGATGATGTTTTGGATATTACAGCAAAAGCTCAGGCCACAAAAGCAAAAATAAATAGGACTATATTAAACTGAAAAGCTTCTGCACAGCAAAGGAAACAATCAGTACAATGAAACAGCAACCTACAGATTGCAAAAACTACTTGCAAATCATATACCTGATAAGGGGTTACTATCCAAAATGTATAAAGAACTCATACAACTCAATAGTAGAAAAGCAAATAACTCAGTTTAAAGATGGGCAGAAGAGGCTGGATGCAGTGGCTGACACTTATAATCCCAGCACTTTGGGAGGCTGAGGCAGGAGGATTGCCAGATCCAGGAGTTCAGACTGCCCGGGCAATGTAGTGAGATCC